CTACAGATGCAACTCTCCAAAAAGACAGACAGACATTATAAATTAAAATCTACAAAAGTTTTAAATATTAGGTTTATTAATAGTGGCGTTATTGATAACATAGACATTGTCACAAAATTCTATTACTTTATGGGAGATAATAATAAGAACACTTCCATTTGCTATTCAAACACCCATGACGCTAATAATGCCAAGGTCGTAGGTTCGATCTCTATTGGGAAAATACAAACTAGCAAAAGTATACCTTAAAAGCATTGCAAAAGCTGCTTTGAAAAGCCTGTCAAATGCATATATGCAAATGTGCAACTGTGACATTCATACATCTATACATCTATACTGAATATGTCCATTTGTTTTTACATGTTTTCTCTATTGTCTTGAGAAATCTGATTCAGATAACCTCCTGGATGGCAGTGATGGCATTTTCTACTAGCTGCACGCTCCAAAAGACATCTGACATCGGGAATCTTATAAAAGCACATTATCTCTAATGGACAAGAAACTGTTTCCTTTGTATGTTACCTTGAGTTGTAATGGTGCTATCCAACTATCAGTCTACACAAGTGCTATGAACTGTTTTTATAACCTCTGCTTTATCCAATCGATCATTTTTACCGCCCACATCACCTCATTTCTTGAAGGTCGACAGACAGTCCATCATCAGCTCTCGTCAAGAGCACGATCACACGTCTCATCTTCAGACAGTAGTGTCACGTAAAGACTGCAAGGTTCAATATGCTTCATGACAACAATTTGCTACTGCTAGTAATAAACATCGACTTTCCCTTAGTCTTTGATGAAAATCTTTGGATAGAGGCATCACTCCATATATCATGTTTTTATATTTAATATGCCGTTAGCTTTACAATGTGGACTGTGTGAACCTGGTCATCTTACTTTTCTTAGGATCTTTATGTTTAGACATGTTTAAGGTAAAACTCACTCTTAACATCATTAGAACATCATTATCTAATCAAATGGACTAATTCAGAAGCAACAGAAGCAAGAGTGTCAATCTGATTCTCAATCTATAGCAATTAAAAGGAATTCCAAGTCAGTCTTTTGGGGGAGACGAATCTGTCGGTCTAAAAAATTTTAGTATTATGTTTTATTTATTATGTTTAATAAATTATGTTTAACCGCATCCTGAAGGCCAACAAATTGACTTGTCTAAGGTGATTCAACAAAATATTGCAACATGACCTACGGATTTAAGGCTTAAACTCCTTTCTTTGATTTATGTCCAGAGGCACTGGGAATAAGAGGGGAATTCAAAGCAATCCCTGCTGGAAAGGCAGGCCAGGTTTCTGAAATGAAAATGTTCATCGTTTATGGTTTCACTGAAACACTTGCATAATGAATTACAATTTGGCTGCATCCAAAATCGCATACTTCCCTACTATATAGTAGACGAAAAACAGCTAAAAGAAGTATGACTGAATTCAGAGTAATCATTTAAAAAAAAGTGTTGGCAAAAAGTACAGTTTGAGTTTATGCTATTAGCCCACAGGACAGTACTGTAGGTCACACGATAATGACAACATGCCGAATGTAGTAATTCTGGACTATTCGTACTACACACAGTATATTGATAATGTACTTTTTTAGCAGTTGCAAAGTAAGCATTATTCAAAATAAGTACCTACTCAAGAGTTTTTGCGATTTCGGATGCAGCCAATGTCTTCTTTCTTGCATTTATTTGCATACTGAATCCTTATGGATCGTGTCTTCTATTTAGGATAGCATTGATAATTATCCTTATCTGGAGAGAAATCAGGACATGCTGAGTATCAAGAGTCAAGACCACAGTAAAGCAACATGACGCAGCATTTAAAACATCAGTTGCCCAAATATGCGATATTTCCTTCAAGAAATGCAAATCTATGGTAGCTGTTATAGCTGCAATACGTACATGTATCCCAACTTTCACAAGGTCCAGCATCAAGGTTCAGTGTAAACTCTAAGATGGTGCCATAAGTACATCAGATGGGATATTGCAACAACACAGAATTGAAAGAACGTCTCAGACCTACAGAAGTGGTTCTGATCACAAAAGGTAAAACTATTTGCAGGAAACATTCACTCTCTCGGTCTTCCAATCCCTCTCTCCACAGAATGTGCACTCTACATCCTTGGCCCTGATTGCCCTAGCTAAAAAAAATACTTGCTGCCTGATACCTTCAACACATCCTTTCCATGTCCTTGTCCCAAATTATTAGCGATTTTTTGAAAGCATATTCAATTCAGTGCACCTCAGAGTTAGATGTTTTGAGTGCATTTTATTTCCAAAACAAAACCTTTTATTTACATGAAATCCATCTTGGGAAAATTTTATCATGTCTTCATATTTTATTTTGTAAAATGACTGCTTACATTTTATCATTTCCCTTTTTTGACCAAGACTCAATATTAGAATATTATTTTTTTTTTAAATTTTTTAAAATATCAACAGGGTCTAAAAACTAAATGTGTTTATTTGAATAAGCACCAATAGGTTTTTTTGAGCCAACATATTACTGTAATTTTTTTAGTTTTATACTGTATTAGTATTAACTTTTGTTGTCACTTTCCAATATCACTGTTCAAAGTTTAACATTTCCAATCAAATGTAATCTAATCAATAGGCCTATCTGCCTATCTATCTATCTGTCTATCTATCTATCTATCTATCTATCTATCTATCTATCTATCTATCTATCTATCTATCTATCTATCTATCTATCTATCTATCTATCTATCTATATACTGTATTTAAATCAAATATATTTACACTTTCTGTAATACTTCATACAGTATCTAAATCATTGATTATTTTGCTTTATGCAACATACAGTAAGTAAAGAACATCACATTAGATTGTCAATTGATAGATGTCAATATTCACTGATGAATTCACACAAAAAAGATCAAATTTATTCCCATTCATGGACACAGTATTTTTTATTGCATGAGGCTGATTTTGAGTAGACATGCATTCAGGTTCACTCAAAGAAACTCTTTCATGTTTCACATTATCCCTTCCTCAATCCTCATAGATTGTATAGCTCAAATATGGTTCAGCTCATCTAGCCTATCTTTGCCCTTTAACCCATTTATTTCTCATCCATAACCAGGTCTAAAATCTACAACAGCATTGAACTTTTAGCCTTGGCCAGCAGCTACTCTGAACAGTCAATACTCCTCCACTCGCTCTGACTAATCTAATAGTGTTATTTTTCTGTAGTGGAAAGTGCTGCGGGGTCATTAGACTTGTGAGATGGGGGAAAAGCCAACAATCAGCAAATAGCTGCAGGAACTCCGCGGCATCTCGACAGCTGTCCACCACTTTAAATGGACGGACCGCAGAATAATGTTAGCCACAGGCAGGGTGTTAGAGAAAGAGTGTAAGGAAAGATACAGGAGGGAGGACTGAAGGAACAAGAGAGAGCTGGAGAAGGTGAGAGAGCGAGCGAGAGAGGAACGGTGGAAGCAGATAAGAGACACTGAAGAAATAGAAAGGGAGGGTGAACACGGGCGATAAAGGGGTGGAAAAACAAGGGGATTGGACGACCAATCGTATGTCTCACCATGCAGGCTCAAGATTCGGTCACTTCTTAATTACACATTAGAAGAAAAGCTATAGCGACAGTGCCTAGAACAGCTCCCTGAAATACTTTTAGATTGGATTTCTGAAATGTAGTCTGTATGTGAACAGGTTTTAAAGAAATAGTTCACTGAATTAAAATTATGTCATCATTTACTCACCCTCGAGTTGTATTAAACCTTTGTTGGTAACCAAACAGTTGATGTACCCCATTGACTTCCATAGTATTTTCTTTTTTCTATGAAAGTCAATGTCTGGTTACCGACAGTCTTCAAAATATCTTCTTTTGTGTTCAGCAGAAGAGATTCATTCAGGTTCAACTTGCTTGAGGGTGATGGCACGTAATGACAAAATGTTCATTTTTGGGTGAATTATCCCTTAAATACTGAAATATGCCCCAAAATGCAATGAATATGAATTGGTTTACGCCTCTAAATAATTTTTAAAGGAATTCTTAATAATCACCCAAATTTGATCTCATTCCAAAACCAATTTTTCTTCTTTCTCCAGAAAAAAAATACTAAAAGCACCAGAAATGTAGTCTATAATCCAATTTCAAGCCATCTGAAGTCACATAGCTTTGTCTGAGAAAGAGGCATAACATTTAGGATTTAGGCCTAAAGTCATCTTCCTCATTGGTACAGAGACTCAATTGTTTCAGTGCTTGAGTTCAATTCAAAACAATCAAATGCATCACGATCTGTCAAGAGAAATGTGAGATCTAATGATGTTTGCCATCACTTTGACAATCGTACTATGGAACATTTATAGCTTTTTGTGTCCTTTTTGGAGCTTGTCAGCACAACTCACTTTAATTATATATGGGGGAAAAAAAGCAGTTCAGACATTTTGCAAAACATCCAATTGTGTGGTCCACGAAAGCAAGACAGGTTTGGAACAACACGAGGAGGAGAAAATAATCAATACTATCCCCTTAACACAATGGGATAAGCATCATCGCAGCTTGAACCCTTCTCGTAAAGCAGAGATGCTGAACACACTTGACTGAATCACAATGACAGGCTCAAAACAGCAAGTTTCCTCTCACAATTCCTCTGTACACAAAAAAAAGCAGCATGGTTCATTTTTAATGGCAAGCTAGCTTCTGAAATACTCTATTTCACATACCAGCAACAAACAACCGAGTGTCCGAGTTAAATTATAAGGAAAGACTAAATAAAGCTCCACATAAAAGACTTGTCAATGAATATTTGGGGTAAGCATTTAAACATTGAGCCTAACCTGACAGGTTGATGACATGCAACACAACAGTTCATTCACAATTACATTTAACACGTAACGTTAGCTCATTTAACGTTAAATTCAACTGCTCCAGCGTGGTGTTAAAGATAAGACAAGCAACTTTAACGTCATTGCAGAAAATATGCATAAAGCATCATAAAGTCATGTGGCTTACCGTCAGTTATGTGGAATCTCACTCAGATGATGCTGGGACAGGTCTAACGTTAAGTCTTCGAGGCAAGGTTGGTGTACCTAATGGCTGTTGTGCGAAATAGTGCTAAAATAGCGAAATTGTAAGGTTTGAGAGAAAAAATGAACGGATGCCAATGTTTGTTAATGAAGTGCAGTGTAAATAAACCACATATGTTTGAGCTCTGTCCACTCAGAGATGTCAATGAGGAGTGAATGCGGAGCGTTTGCTCTTTCAAAGAATCAAGCCAAGGCTACAGTACAGAAAGCCCGAGTCACGTGATCCTCTTTCTCTCTCTCTCTCTCTCTCTCTCTCTCTCTCTCTCTCTCTCTCTCTCTCTCTCTCTCTCTCTCTCTCTCTCTCTCTCTCTCTCGCGGGCAACACAATTTCCCTCTCTTTCATTTTTTATTTATGCTCTGGGGATTATTTTTATTAAAAAATAAAGTCTTTTTAAACATTTAGTATTTTTATTTTTGTTAATCTTACATTAATTACCTGAGATATTTGTGCCTTTGAAAATATAGCCTATTTGTAACATTGCATTTCGATGCTTTTTTAAATCTTACATATTATTTAAAAAATATATTAAAAACTTGGAGAGCAGTCACATAAAAACCACTGTCCCAATATTTTTTTTTCTCTCCCTCTCTCTTTAATAGATTAGAAATGCTGTTCATAAAATGTTCATAACAATTTATATATAGACTAGCCAACGTATCATAGGCCTATATTGTTTGAGGGGCTAAATGTCTTAGTGGTGAAAATGACTGGAGATTGTAAAAAATTAAAGAATCACACACAAAAAAAGCTATTTTGTTTTTAAATTCAGTCATTGTGGCCCACATACAGGAAGCAATTTTGCGGTCATTTGAGAGGAAAACTATAAATGACCCCTTTAGACCTGCAAAATCCCCAAAAAAGTTTTAAAAATAAACAAATAATCATATTTTGACATTTTTTATTAACTGACATGCTTTGTATAAATCAAACAGATTAAAAATATTTTAAAACTTTATTGAAAATAATCATGATTACATTACGTTTACATTCAGTATTCGAGGTGAGTACATTTATATTCAAGAAAAGTATTTAAATAGTTTTTTCTTGACAGTTACACCATGACCTTTTTTATCAAGATTTTTGTTTACATTTATACTTTTGATTTTAATGTATGAAACCAACATGAATGCAAAGATATAAAGGTTGTCAAGTGTGTGGACAAGTAGGCTTATAACGAACTAAAATTAAATAAAATATCTGGATTTTTTGTTCCTGAAACCTTTCAAATGAAATTACACAAACCCCATATGCTAGAAATAACTATAGCCCACAGTTCTCTCATTACAATGTGAACATTTTAAAACAGAAAAACCATGTATAGTTCATTCTCATAGTCACTAACACATGTTTTAACCCATGAGGAAACAAATCCCTCGGATGTGTAATTATGTTCTCACCAACTACTCGTGGTCCATCGAGCAACAGAAGAGGCTCTTAACTACCACACAGAAACCCATTATTAATGGCTTTGCCGTTGTCATCCCTGCCCGAACTGTCCATCGGCGCATGTACAACACACTTTTTCCACAGAAATTGGAGACCCTGTGTGTAAAATAATTTGCTGGCTGTTTCTATGTCTGTTAAATACATGCAAAAGGGCCTCCGGCAATGAAATCTCTGCTCATGTTTTGGCACCAATTAACAAGCTTTACTGCCAGCCTAATTGAAGCATAATTACTAGGTTTGTTTAGTTCAGGGTAAATTCAAAACCAACACATGAGAAAATGAACAAAGGTAATGCATGCCACAATTAACATTTGTAATACTTTAATGTGTGCACCATTGTCCAGTTGTTCAGCCGGCTAAGGAAAAATAGCACCCCGGTGTCTGTTTTGCCTCATTCGGTTTTCAAGTGTATTTTTAGTGTTTGCTTGTGACTGTACATTTTGTAGATAATAGGTGTGTTGAGGATCCAACAAAGAACTGAAAGCCACCCCCAAAACCGACCATCCATCCGAACAACTGCAATAATAAACACATACATGTTCTTTCACAATCTGTGCGTTTTTGTATATCCCTTTGGCAGTCTGCCACCTCATCTTCGCTCCCACACACACAGGTAATTTTGGAGCTTTGTGTAGGCAGCCTGCATGGTCCAGATCATTGTAAGATCCAGATCAATAGGTGCCTGTAAGATGGAGCTGAGAGCAGCACTAAGAAAACAAAGCAATGAATACATGCAGTGGAGTGGAGACTGGTGAAACAAATAGAAGGATATGTGGGGAAATTCAGTCGTTCAAGAGCTTAAATGATTGCTTATTAAGTTGAGAAGTGAAGCTCACGAAATGATCAATTTAGCCCCATCTGTCAACAGTCAATCACAACAATGTGTATCATTACATATAATAATATAATATAGTACACTCTAAAAAAACATTTGTTGGCTGAACAACCATTAGGCCTACTTATAAAAGTAATTAGATTAAACACAAAAAATTAAGTATTCATAACTTCATAATATCTGAGTTCATGCAACATTCTTTACTGCATCACATATTGTTGCATGAACTCAAATATTTAAGTTCTTAAGGTTTTCTTGTTAATTTTAAGTAAAATTATTCCAAGTTGGGATGACTTAAAAAGTATGAAATAAAAATGGTGCACATATATTTTAAGCAAATCCAACACATTATTTTTCACTACACGACTGAAGCTTTTTACTGATTACTGAAGCAAGAAAATGTCTATTTCAGTCTTTTTCAAAATGTAATTATTTGTAAAATTAGAAATATAAGAGCCCACTTTAGTTTTAGAATGAGATAATTGGGCTAATGAGAAAAGCTCCAGTAGAGGTAATGACCTTCAGTCCCAGAGCATGGTCACATCAGAGTGCAAAAATCAGGGGGAGGCACTAGTCATTGTGACCTGAATCTACAAAAAGCCTGCTTGTTAGTGGAGGCGCTGTTAGACAGACAGAATGAGTGAGTGAGGCACATAATGATCTCTCTGAGTCACACTATGATGTTGTCATAACCCTTTTTAGTTTCATTGAGATTTTTTGTAAGGAATAAATATTTAGGAGAACATTATAAGATCATTTAAACAATAAATGCATTTAAAACAATTCTTGCAAAATGTGCGTTTACACAGATTTGTGTAGAGAATAAAATCCAATAAATGTCTTTGGATAGCCTAGATATTTGCAATATTGTCATATGAATAATCGGTCTAGCGATTTATATCAGGTCTCAAAGTTTGATGTTTGATTCACTAAAAAAGAATCGGCTCATTAGAGTCGTTCATTCGACTACACTCCTATGCCGCATTTTTTCAATTTGCCAAAAGAACTGGATTATAAAATATAGTTCTTCATTATGCTTATTTTTTTCTAAAAATTGCAAGTTATAAAGTCCGAATTATGAGGGACAAAACTCGCAATCGTGTGGAAAAAAATTAAAGATAAGTGAGAAAGTAATTTGTTTAAAAATAAAATTCTGTGTTGGAAACAAGCTTAGTCATTAGCCCTGTCCCAAATGGAACCCTTCACGATCTTCCTCCGGGTCCACACTTTTGTGACGTAATGCCACTTGGTGGCCATTGTAAGTCCACAAGACCCATTTGAGACAGTCCCACTGAGACCTTTTCGTTCATTCGACTGGTTCATTCAAAAAAACTCATTTATTCAGGAAAGTCATAAAGATAGCCATCTTTACGAGGGAGTCATTGAATCATTCACTGAACTGATTTTCATTGAATCATTGAATCATCCCGAGAATAAAAAAACACCAGTATACAACAACCGCCATAGTATTGCAATCGTAACTAATCGTCTTTAATTAAAACTCTTAAAATATAACAATAATCACTTCATGACTTCATGACATGAATTATTTCCCATAAAATTGAAATTACAAAACAGAATTCTCTGATATTTAAATTCAGAACCATGCTGTGGGTAAAGTACCAATCGTTTTAAGCTTCTGTTTATAGATTATACACTTATCAAGTATAATCTGCATGATAATTACCATTTTGAATCACTAAGCATTTTTTTTCCTTTCTATATCATTATTTATTGTTGTAGGGTTTGAGACTATACCACAATGAAAAATTTATAAAATACCTAAAGTATTTATTAAAACAAGTATTGTTCTAAAGTGTATTTTAGGGAAATAAATGCCCTTTACTTGAACATTGGTCATCTTTATAGGGTGTTAGCCTGTGTTCTCTATTTGATATTATTTGTGACTTTGACAAAAGAAAGGCAAATACAGTATGGTTTCCAGGCTGATTGCATCTTTACATGGTAGAGTGATTGTGTGACAGAAATATTTCATCTCCGAAACAGAAAATTGTGTGTAAATTGTTGACTTCCTGAAACAAATCATGCAATAGGCGGCTCCTCACAATTGTTTGGCAAACTGGAAAGATTGACTGTCATTAGGCTGAATCTCCAGAATGACAGTACAGACTTTGATTGCATTGGGAGAGAGAGAAAGAGAGGGATGGAGGGAATATTATGAAGGAAGGGAGGGATACAGAATGCCATGAGAAATAAGCAGGCCAAATGGGAACGACAGAAAATAGATTAATTATTCATCAGTACTCCAAACCTGGTGCAGTCCCTGTGGGGGTTGTATATGGAAATGTTGTGGCACACTCTCATATGTTTCTCTTCAGCCTGAATTCCCCATCATTCTCAACTCTTGACCCAAAGCATGCTGAGATATGTTTTTGAGCTCTCAAACGCTGGAACACTTCGTCCATGCAAAGTGAAGCTACAGTATCTTCAATTTCAATTCTTCCACTTCAGGAAATTAATCCCTGGCTTAAATGTACCCAAAATGTATGATACAGAGAAGTAATATGTGGGATCAGCTTCTACTCCAAAGGCTTTGCTGGAAATGAATTGACCAGTGCATTAATAAAACACTCAGATAAAACCAGAGCACATGAAGGAACGCTTTCAATTTTGTCGCCTTGATAATGCTGAAACTACTTGTGGCCGTGAATAGAATATGTTGAACTTAAAAGCTTTGGGACTTCATCATGCATGCTTTACTTTGCAGGAGTCTACTTAAAACATGAAGCTGTTAAACAAATTTTCTGATTTAGTTCAGTTTATAAATACGAAGATTTGACGCACTGTAATAGCATGTGCTTGAAAAATAAAATCCCCCAATTCAACTTAAAAATTTTAAGTTAAAACGTAAAAGTCAAAAACACATTTAAGTG